GAGAGAGAGAGAGAGAGAGAGAGAGAGAAACTCCTCCCAACTAAAATTCACAGTCATCACACTATGTCACCCCAGTAGTCAGACAGGCGGAAAGAGAAAAGAGATAGTTCAGTCTGTGATGTGATGTGATGTGTGTTGTTGGGGAGTGCTTCAGTCGCTGAGTTATTGGTTTGCTGCTGTCAGCATAAACGTTAGCTACTTTTTCTATATCAGTTCATTTGACTGGTGGATTAATATTTACTATTTTTCAGTTTTTTAAATTACAAAAACAAGTTAAAGAACCTTTGAAAGAGTTGAGAAGAAGAGAAAAGGTTGGGACAACCTAAAAGTGGATAATTCTGCAGTTTTTGTCTGGGTTGGTTAAACTTTCTTGAAACGGGTAAGGACTCTTTTTGCTTCTTCACCATGACGTGCAGATGGAAGCTTCTTATACTGGGTGAGTCACATATGTGGGAGATGGAATGGAAAACATTATCTTTTAAGATTTTTTTTGTAAGGATCTGAATTTAGAATGACATCTTAGACAAAAACATTTTCAACATTTTCATTGAACTGCTGTCTAGTAATACTTAAGCTGTCTAAAATAATAATGTCTAAACAGCAGTTTTGGCTTTTCAGACATAAACACTCTTGCTTTTTGTTGCATTTGTTTAGTCACTTTTCTTTGAGATAAAGTTAGCCAGCATATTGTCATTGACAAAATTATAGTAAATTAATAAAAGTTCTAAGAGATTTTCTCAATTTTTTGTCGAATATCTCATTTCATCTAAACTATAATTCCAATTTTTCATGAGACATTACAACCATGTCACATTCGTGCAAAACGGGGCAACTCACCCAACAAATTCCATGATATAAAAGCCCAGTTATTACTTTCTTGGCTAACTGCGCATCATGCTACACATTAATTCTCACTTCATTACTGTCATGTGGTAAATATTCTTTTTAAAAAAGTGTTTCTTTCTTATTTCTGAATGACACAGTTCTGACAGCTGATAGTTTTTCTAAAAAGACACCAGGGACTGCCGTTTCAGTGCACAGCACTGCTGCCCTTTTGTGGAGAGGTTGAATGACCGCCTTGTACATGTGCAGGTTTCCTTTGAGAGCTTTACTAACCGTACGCTAAGTCAGGGTTCGAGACTCTCTTAGAAAAGTGATTCTTAAAGGTTTCACTGGTTAGAAAACTAATATTAAGTTGACCTTTATACTTAATGTTTCTTCTCTTCCCCCCATCCTCCACCATCCTGTCAGCTATACAGAAAGTTATATTTAGCAATTGAAAAATTTAGCAATGTTTTAACTTCTTCAAATTAAGTCAGGAAACAAATGATTAAGTGTTGCTGCATCTAGCAACCAAACGTTTTAAACTGCCAACAGTTTTCTTTCATGGAAAAAACATAAACTGTAAACACAATGACAGGTGTTTCATTCTCCACCCCCACCCCAAAAAAGAAAAAGATGCAGCATATTTCTGAGC